TGCTGAGAACCCACAATAAGGCCTTCAGGTCAGGGGATAAGGCAGGCCTCAGAACAGCAAGAGCCAAGCTTTCCTGGGCCATCAGAAAGGCAAAGCGTGCCTATGCACAGAAAATCCATGAACATTTTCAAGACACTGCTGACACACGGCGCATGTGGCAGGGCATCCAGGCCATCACCAACTACAAGACACCTCCACCCTGCTTGTGACAGTGATGTCCCCCTTCAGATGCACTGAATAACTTCTATGCTTGGTTTGAAGCACAGAACTGCTTGACAGCAAGGAAGACCACACTTCCTCCAAATGAACAGGTACTGTGTCTGTCCACTGTCCAGTGTTCTGTCTCAATGATAACATCTCCAGCACCACCATACTGAGCACCGGTGCCCCCCAGGGCTGTGTGCTTAGTCCACTGCTGTTCACCCTGCTGACTAACGACTTTACTGCAAAGCACAGCTCAAACCACATCATCAAGTTCACTGATGACACAACTGTGGTGGGTGTGATCAGCAAGAACGATGAGTCAACATACAGAGAGGAGGTGCAGCAGCTAACAGACTGGTGCAGAACCAACAACCTGTCTCTGAATGTGGACAAAACTAAGGAGATGGTTGTTGACACCGAAGAGTACGAGGTGACCACCACCCGCTGAACATCACTGGCTCTGCGGTGGAAATCATCAGGAGCACCAAGTTCCTCAGTGTTCACATCACACACACCTGGTCCCTCAGCACCAACTCCATAGCCAAGAGAGCCCAGCAGCACCTCTATTTCCTGCAGAGACTGAAGAAATCTCATCTGCCCCCTCCCATCCTCACCATGTTCTACAGGGGGACTGTGGAGAGCATGTTGAGCAGCTGCATCATCGCCTGGTTTGGGAATTGCAATGCCTCTGGCCGCAAGACCCTACAGCAAATAGTGAGGACAGCTGAGAAGATCATCAGGGTCTCTCTCCCTCCATCATGGACATTTACACCACACTCTGCATCCGCAAAGCCACCAGCATTGTGGACGACCCCATCCACCCCTCATACAGACTTTTTTCACTGCTGCTGTCTGGCAGAAGGTACCATAGCATCCGTTCCATCACTGCCAGACTCTGCAACAGCTTTGTTCCGCAAGCAATCAGGTTTTTTAAACTCACAAGGGCTGAACTGAAACCCCCTCACACATACACACACAGCTCTTTTGATGCTCTCACTTGAACCTACTGCACTATCTAGAACATTGCTGCTAATACTGTATATTGCTGCTAATACTGTATTCTATTCAAGTACTGTATATTTCTACCTCAGTAACTGCTGTGCTCACGTATGTTATAATCTGGCTGCGCATACCTCCATATCACAGCATGTTAAATATCTCTGCACCTTATCCTCACTACCTCATGCTAGAAATGAATGCTGATTCGGCGCTGCACTGTCCTGTCTGTTTATTGTGTCTAATGTCTGTTTTATTTATTGTATGTATTGTATTGTTTCTAGTTTAATGTTTGCACACTTACATCTGCACACTTGCACTTTGTCTGTACTGTATTATTTTGTTCCATGTTGCACCATGGTCCTGGAGGATAATTCGCTCCACTGTGTGCTTGCACACAGGTGGAAAGACAGTAAAAGCCTCTTGACTTGACTTGTATCACACTTACTGTAGTAGTACACCCTCTGTAGTATCACAATAACTGCAGTAGTACAACTTCTGTAGTATCACACTAACTGCAGTAGTACACTTGCTGTAGAAGTACACTGTAGTATCACACTGTAGTAGTACACTGACTGTAGTATCACATTAATTGTTGTAGTACAGCTTCTGCAGTATCACACCAACTATAGTAGTACACCTACTGTAGTATCACATTAACTGTAGTAGAAGGGGAAGGGGGGCACAACCTAACACATTTTGTTTTTTATTTAATAATTTAAGCATTTATTTGAACATGATTAATACTTTTTATCCAAGCAACCTACACATCTCTGCTACAAATGAAAACATAAACTTTGTTTCCAGCACCTACCATTTATGCACAATTCAGCCAAAAGTACAGTGAGTGCAAACAAGGGCTAGTTGTAGCTAGTTGATGTTGTCGCAGGAAAGTAAACTCTTAATTCAATACAGTTTTTTGTTGTTTGTGTCAGATGAAGTTTTTCCAACTTCACTGCATACGAATATATTCATCAAAATACATACGATTAGTTAAAGGAGAACACAGCAAATTTAATTTTGACCACAAAGTAGAACTCTATAGTATGATTTATAGTATGTTTTTGATAAGTCAGTGAATAAAAAACATCCAAAAATTGACTGTTTTAAATTGATATGAGGAACATACAGACTTAAATGGCCCTAAAATTTCCTTGTGGAGATTTAGTTGTAAAACTGCATAACTCCACTGTGTGAGGCTGTACTATAGCCTGGCTAGCTTTTATTTTGAGTTATTTACATGCATCAATATGGGTCAGTATTACTGCCACAAAGAGGGTTATTAAAATACAACCCCATTTCCAAAAAAGTTGGGATGCTGTGCAAAATGTAAATAAAAACAGAATGCAATGATGTGCAAATCATTTAAATCCTATATTTCATTGAAAATAGTACAAAGATAACAAATCAAACGTTGAAACTGAGAAATTTTATTGTTTTTTGAAAAATATATGCCCATTTTGAATTTAGCACCAACATGTTCCAAAAAAAACAACAAAGAAGACCGTGAACTATTGAGCTGAAATCCTATGTTAAGCAAAAATAGAAAAACATTTCACTTTCAAAACTACAGTAATTGGTCTCCTCAGTTCCTAAATGCTTAAGAGTGTTGTTAAAAGAAGAGGTGATGAAACACAGTGGTAAACATGCCCCTGTCGCTTTTTTTGAACACGTTGCTGGCATTAAAATCAAATTTCTTAGTATTAACTTTTGATATGTTGATATTTTCAATTAAATATATGATTTGCACAGTGTCCCAATTTTTTGGAAACTGAGTTTCTCTTTGAGAATACCAATTTCAGTATTACATCTGCTTAAGTACACACTAACTGTAGTAGAATATTGGTAGTGCTTGGATGGTGTGCTGTGGGGTATTTAAGCTAATCAAGTTTCTATATAAAGCTTGCTGCATTTCATTTTTTTAGTGTACATATGGAGAAATGAAGATTCAGGATCAAAACTCAACTCAGTTACTTAACAACTGTTTATTAGCATTTGCCTTATATGTTCTACAAAAATATACTTTGATAGAAAACCATTTTGAAAATAATGAAAATCAGTCAGATCAGTCTTCTGCCTTTCATGTGTTAAAGAACATGAATCCTGAATGAACAAACAGATAATAAGCCTAAGACATTTTACTGCTGTGTGTCAATAAACATGTACAGAATCTTTTCTGATCATGTGCTGGCTATGCAAGTTAAGTGTGTCAAAAAATAATCATGTATACAGAGCAGTCACATAAAATAATCATGTATACAGAGCAGTCACGTAAAATAATCATGTATACAGAGCAGTCACGTAAAATAATCATGTATACAGAGCAGTCACGTAAAATAATCATGTATACAGTACAGGCACAAAATTCCCTCCATTCCCAGGTGACTATATTGCTCAGACAGACAGCGTCACTCCATTGGAATATGGATAAAGGGGAGAGTGTTTCAAACACAAGTCAAGTGCATAACCAATCAGACATACTATTACAATTTCACAATGAAACCTTACTGGCTGCAATCAGTGGACAGATGTTGATACCAGCTGGTGGCAGCAACTGAGCTTGGAGAACTTGTTTCTTTTCTATAGAAATCAGCGATACAGATCAATTCAGGTCAGTCCTACTCTTGTGCTCCCGTGGGACTGGCAACAAGCAAGCACTGAATTCTATTATTACAATATGACTAGCTGTCTACACTGCATGCTAAGCCTGAACCTCCTGACCCCTGCTGTCTGCCAGCACTGGGACAGTTCAGGGACAGCCCTGCCTAATCACTTCTGTATCATTCTTAGCCAGTCTCCTCTTAAATGTCCAAGGTCTCAAATGCTTTCTGATTCAGGCAAGTTTGCTGAAGTCCACACTGATCCAGTGTTCTGTATGACTGAATGGATGTTCTCCACTCAGTCACACTGTTCTACAGGGAGATTCACTCGAAAGAGGCCCCAAATGTTCTGTAATAACTCTCGCGAGAACTAAGAAATCTGAACGAAACAACGTGCAATGTGCTCCTCAGTATATGGAGCTTCTAACAATCTGGGATGCCCCTGTGTCAGAGCGATGAGGTATGCGCCGGGCAGCCGTTGCGATGTTTAACCTCCATTTGCAACTTCCAGGTTCATACCCCGTACCCCTTTATGTGTCTGGCAGAAAACGGATATCAATTCCAGCATTGCATGTAATGCAATCGATTACACATACGTCAAGGCATGTAGTGTATTTTTTTGGTTCAGATTGCTTCATCCTAACAGGAGTTACAACAGAATATTCGGGGCCTCTTTCAAGTGAATCTCCCTGTAGAATGTCCTCCACCCATTTACACTGTTCTAATATGTTCTCTCTCTATTCAAACTGGTTCATTTGGCTCATCAGTTCTTATTCTGGAACATTCCAAATCCAAATGCCAACATTAGAAAGTTGGTGGTTGTTGGAGATTGTTAGGTCAACATGCACTGGGTTTAAAAGAGAACTCTAAACTTTTTTTTCAAAATTTCTGCATAATAAAATAGTTAAGATGTAAACTAATTGTTTCTGGTGTTTTTTTGTGAAATGCTATTGTAGAGAAACTTACTGACATCTGAAGACTTTAATGCCTCTACAAGCTACACCACAGAAAATCATTACCAGAAACGGTTATGAATATGCTGGCTGAGAATTTGTTATGGTAGTTTTGAGAAGACATTTTGGCCTAAAATATAAATGTTTAAAATCCATTCATGGCAGAGAGGTACATGCAAGGTGTCATAAGGCAAAATAGTACCCAAAGAAAATCTACTTTTTCAGATTTACTACTATTTTACCATTATTAGCATTACATTAACTCAGTAGACACTGGTAGGTTCACTGGTCATTTTGGATGGTAAATAAAATATTCGCACTGTAGATTTCATGACCCCTGGTTCCCTACAACACTACTGTGAAGAAATTTGAGTTGGTAAGTTCCTCTACAATGCACCATTTTACAAAAAAGAAAACTTAGAATTACTTTGTTTACATCTCAAATTCAGTAAAAAATGGGTTCCCTTTAAGAACAAAGTTGCCTATTGTACCTTTAATTAATTAGGATAACTGAATAGGTAAGCCAAACTGAATGGATGAACTTGTTGCACAGATCTGCATGGACTACCTGCTTGTAAAGAAGAGCAAAACTTGTTTATTAAGTGGAAAATGCTGCATAAGCATTGATTTGAAATGTGGCACAGAGAGACACACGTTCACTTGCTTTTTTCAAAAGGGAAGAGATGTTTATCTTGGCCACGCCTCTCTCTTTTACTGATAGACTTCTTAGCTCCTCCCTCTTCCTGCTCCTCCTGTCTGTTTTGCGGCCATGATGCAGCCAGTGTGGGTGGGGCAGTGTGAGCTCCGCCTTCATCCTCCTCTCCGGATGATAATCCGGCCCCAACTTCGTCGCCCTGCCCCAACCCAGTGCCCTTTTCCAGGCCCTGTCGCCCATAACGACGCTGTAGCCTCTCTTTGATTAGAAGGCCTTTCACTAGCAGTGTCCAGTTCGACAAGGCTCGCTTCTCACGCTTCTGTAACAGACAAACAAACACAAACATTACAAAAATGACTCCTGGACAAACATTAAATAAACATTCTTCTTCCTTTCTTGCTGTCTTCCAATATGTTCCTATATGTTGTAATAAAATTTATATTCTAGTCAGGACCTCCGCTACCCAAGAACAGAGTTGCCTGCACAACACATCATGCATTTGCACTGTCAGCATCAAATTAGGATGAAGTAAGAAATGTGCTTCCATTCTAACTTGCCATTCCTTAGTTAGACAACATTAATCTTTTAAACAGTGAATCCTATATAGATTCCTTTGTGAGGACATTATAATACATCATGGGCTCCACTGGGCAAATGTGCATTTGTCAAAGTGGCACAATAAAATCAGAGGGTGCTTTGTGTTAGAGTAATCCATATGTCCTAATTCAGTCTTTGGGCACTTTACCCTTTAACTTTTATAAAGGATGTGTTTGTCAAACTTTTATGAAGGCACCCATACATTACAGAGTGAGGAAACTACTCTTTTATCACAAATCATTTAAACCAGACTCTCACCCACTCTCTCGCTCTTTCCCTCTCATGCACGCACATGCACTGGATGTGTACCTATATTCAGTAATAAGGTTCACCATGATACTCAGCATGCAAGGTACTGTTACTGTGGACACTGCATTTTAGCTGAACAAGCCCTGATTTGACCAGAGATTTTTTTAGATATGCAGAGTAGGTCTGGTTTCACTACGCTGTCACATTGTGAACTTATGCTTAATGTGATGTTTGTACAGATGGCTTAGTGTGTTACTGAACTGAGCTCACAACTCAGGGTAAAGCCGACAATGCTATCCTCTCACATTCTATGTGCTAGCTTGAGCATCTACAAAAAGTCTAGAGGAGACGAAAATGATGCCCATTAAGACGATCAACAAAACAGGTGTCTAGAAATGGAGACTGCTGTGTTATTATACACAGAGCCACGAGACAGGAATCCCCAAAATGTGTAACCAACACATGACAACACATTGTTATTAAAACATGACATTCAGAATGCTACAGGTATGTACATGAATATTTTTCTAAATAAAATACAGCAGGGGTTCCCAAACTGTTGTGTCAGCTGAACCCTTAACCGTAAAGCATTTGTCCTAAGTACCTTTTGAAATTTTTAACAGGCTAATTTTAAATGAAACAGGTATGCATGGCTAAGTTATATAATAAATCTATATTTTCAAAGAAGCTGGATCCAAAGTTGCTCTAAACATCAGACATTTCAGATAATTAAGATGTCTTGGCCACAAAGAATGCTCTAGCTAGCTACTTACTGTAATCTCCATGGTTACAATGTTGATCCCATGGCATGATTCATTCAGTAATTGAAGAGTTTCAATCCAAAATGCTGTGTATCCACTTTTCATATAAAAAGATTTAAATTAAAATAACAGCTGATGTATAATGTGAAACACTTTTTTCTCTGATAAAGGTGGTATTATTCATAATATTGCATTGATATTTTTGTATATGTAAAGCCCACACACACACACACACACACACACACATCTTCTAAACCGCTTATCCTTCTGGGTCACGGGGGGTGCTGGAGCCTATCCCAACAGTCACTGGGTGGAAGGCAGGATACACCCTGGACAGGACACCAGCCCATCGCAGGGCAGACAGACATATATATTCACATACACATTCACACCTAGGGGCAATTTAGTGTGTCCAATTAGCCTGACTGCATGTTTTTGGACTGTGGGAGGAAACCGGAGTACCCGGAGGAAACCCACACAGACACAGGGAGAACATGCAAACTCCACACAGAAAGGAATCGAACCCAGGCCCTTCTTGCTGTGAGGCGACAGCACTACCCACTGCGCCACTGTGCCGCCCAAGCCCACATATATCATGAAAAAAAAGAAAAATGATGAAAGTGGTCTTGTGTTTTAGAACAAAACTCTTCAACTACTGAATTGATCATTATTGAATGGAAATTTTGTTACATTTTGTACTTAAGGTCACCATAAAGTGTTACATTTTACATAGATTTTTTTTTAACTTGTAAAACATTTATTAAAAACATTTCCAACACAGTCTCACAAACCTCCAGGGGTTCTCAAATCCCTGGTTGGGAGCCCTGCACTACAGTGACAATGCTGCGTATACCTTAATAAAATGTTAGGTAATTATTATTAATTATTATTATTGTAATATTTATTTTTTTTATTGGCACGTGTCTAATGTCTAACACACATACACAGATACAAATGTGTGCACACACACACCTCTTGTTCCTTTTTCTGCTGTATCTCTTGCTCATTCTCCCAGCCAGCTTTCAGAATTTCTTGATGTTCCTCGCACACAATGTAGCCGTCAGTGCTGGAACACATTAATCGAGCACATTAGACAACACACTGCTGAGGAAAAGCTGTCTATTCACAGACGCTCTCTCAGACGTTGGCGCATTCATTTCTATTCATGCTCCGTCCTGCACACACTTACACAGCGTGAGCGTATCCTCCATGGTAATCAAAGCCCGTTACCGCAGCAGCACAGTCCAGGTTGAGTTTGCGAGCCACTCTGTGCAGGTTGGGCAGACGCAGGTGCACACATCCCACTGGTAACATACATGGTTTAAACATGTATACGTTTCCAAACTCGTTACGTGGAACCTGCACAAAGAACATAAGCATTACTAAAGATAACTCCCAGAATCAGATTTAATGAAAAAAAAACACATGTACAGGTATAGAGTCTCAAATTCACACTCACCCTGCCATCGATGGCTAGAGGAGGCTGGTACTCCTCAGTCTGCCAGTGGCCAAACAGGGCCAGGTCCTTGTAATCCTTCTGCTCAGACATCATCCTGGCTTTGCGTGAGCGGTTTGAAAAGCCCTTTACCATCTGAAACAACAGGGGGCACATACATAATTTCAGCCATGCAGGAGAGAGTGTATCTCAGTAGCTGGCAATTAATAGAAAAACAAAAATAAACTGAGACAAAGTGCAAAAACAATTTTTACAGAACTTCTCATACATGAATAACTGTTAGGTTAAATTAGGCATGCATGATCACAATCAGCAGATTTTTTGCTTTAAACATGCAATCTGCTATTGTTCAGTTTATTATTTTTATTTTGGCTTACTGGCTTCATATTATTTCATTACGCAACTGGTTTTTCATTTACAGTTCAGTTGCCAGTTCAGTCCATTAAAGAGCAAATATTGGGCCACATTCACCAATATCTTCCTACATTTTTTCTTAAATTTGTTCTTCAGAAAGGTCCTAAGAAAAAGTCTACTTCAGATTCGTGACATGCTCTTAAACCACAGAACTGCTCGCACCTTTGTGCTCTTGAGTGTGAGTAGATTCTGTTCCTACCTAAGAACAAATCACAAATAAGATAAACACTGGTGAAGATCAGAATCTCTATGAAAACTGTGTACTTTTGTTTTTTTTTAATTGTCTTCTTAAGAAAGGTTGGTGAATGTGGCCCAATTTACCTCAGTACGCAAAAGTTTGAACACACTAAACATGTTTTGTAGTTTTCGAAGGGAAAATAAATCAGCATCCTCTACAGGGAACAAATTTAAGTATGATGTTTAAGTGCACAAGTTCTATTTATTTGCATGTTGGAAAAAAATTAAACATAAAATGAGCCATAACTTTTGCATAGGCTGCATTTGATATTTTTTCTTTTTTCACAATATGTTAATTTATTCAAATAAACAAAAATTGTATATTAAAATGTGCAGAAGTGTGTACTCTGTAGAGGATGTGTGGATTTACTTTCACTTAAAAAAAATAAATAAATAAATTCAGCAAACCATGTAATGTGACTAGAGGCGTGTAAACTTTTGCCTATGACTGTATGTTGTGACTTTGGCAAATGTAAGTACTGAACATGTGCTGGTGTGTTTCATACATTCATTCAGCTCATATGCTTTAAGCTTCTGGTTTAAGAAATGCTAATAAAAACTGTCCAAAAAACCTAATCTGGCCATAAAGAAATTGAAAGTGGACATAAAATTTAACGCTTGGTGCATCACTAATATAAACTGCATAATCACATACAATAATAGCAGTTAAAAAGCTGTACAAGAATAAACAATAAAATCAACATTAAATCAACAAAAGAAATCAATCAATAAAAAAGGAAATAAGTCTTAAGGCCTATTTACCCCAGGCAGGATTTGTTCAGAAGAAAAAAATTGATGCAATTTTAAAGTGATACCTTCACAGCAAGTCTGATGCTTTAAAAAAAATGAATATAGGCACAAGGCAGAAGTAAAGAAAGACTCCTCAAGTACTAGCGACAATGAATTTATAATTTCTCTTTTAAGCGTTGCAGCTAAAAGAAACAAAAACTGGCAACAAACTTTTTTTCAAAAAAGCCTGGGCATGAACAGATTAGGATATACCTAAATAAAACAAAAGAAATTAGAGCAGAAATTAGAACAGTCACTGTACTAAAGCATTCACTGTTGCCTTTCAGCTATGATCCTCCACATATTTTCTTTGTGCTTTGCATGTATACTGTCTGCGTAGTCATAAAAGCTTTTAGGCTTATCCACAAACAAGATGAAATGTTCTGCTGCCACCATGATGCACATTCGCTTCTCCTGTAACAATGACAATGGAGCTCTTACTGATCAGCTGGACCTGTGACGCATCTGTACAATGCAGAAAATCAAGCTGGCTCCACTCAAAATTTTTTACACATGACTGTAGTATGTCAGTTTCAGACTCTATGTGAAAAGATAGCATTAACATGCCAGTGTTAGTTTTCAATACTTGACGTGCATTTGTTCCTCCATAAAAATCTGACTCTGTGAGAAAAGATCTTTAGAGACAGAAGAGTTCAAATTCCCTCCCACCTTGTAAGGCTCCTCCCCCAGCCGGACAGTGCGTGCTTCCTTTAGCCAGGTGTCCCTGGAATGCAGCGTGTGGACACAATCCCTAAACATACAACATATACACAAACCACAAAAAACAGCTTTTTACTGCAGAGTTTTCACACTGTAAGGTTCCTGTTGTTAGCTTAAATCTTCTTTAAGCTGACAAAATCTGAGAAGCATATCTTCACATAGGATTCTTAAATCCTTTTCAATAACACAAGTAGCTGCTAAAGAAAGCTACTAGTTTTCCTTCACAGATCAGGAAAACTTTTGGCCGGTGTGTTTACAGCTCAGAGCTTCATCCCTTGCTAAATTACTATAATAATTTTATCTGTGTTCACAAGATGGTAACCTGAAGAGAAAAGTTGACTGAGATAATTATGAGAAAGGTGCAGTGTGAAAAGATATAAAGTTTAAGGTAACAAGAGTGTTCTGAGTCTGTCAGCACTGGTGTGATTTCACTACAGACAACACTTTACCGTGAGTAGACAGCTTCTCCCCGGCAGTAGCCCAGGATGGCCGCAGTGCGGGGGTACAGGGCCTCGTATTTCAGCAGGTGTCTCTCCAGCGCATACAGAGGGTGGTTTTTGTACTCGGATATGGAGGTTGGCAGTGGCTTATCCAACAACTTATCTCGTAGCTGGGGTGGAGGAATGAGGGTGTGAAAGAGAGAGAGAGAGAGATGGAGTCATGTGAATGTGGAATGTATAATGCACTTATGACTTTTAGACTGGCTCTAATCAGTGTTCATTTAAGCTACACAATGTATGTTTTGGGGACCTCTCTGGTGGAAATGTGTAATTGCATGCTCAATATCAAGCTGGACCTTCTTTTTGAACCTGTGCTTGTGATGTTAATATATAAAGATGCATGACGTGGTCCAAAATCTCCTACAAAAACAGACCCGATACCTTGGACTTTTAAACTATTATTTCAGGCTTTACATGATGACTTGCAGCAGCGCACACATACCATATTTTAGCATGTTTTTGCTTCTCCTGACTCAGTAATACAGTGTCTTTTAATTTTAACAAAAAGAAATTACATATGTGACAATATCATTCAAAAGTTTTGAAACACGTGTCATATTAATAATTGCTATTATTTTATTAAATAATAATTTCCATGTGTAGATTGAAATGTTGTAAATTAGACAATAAAATTTTTGGATGTTTTATTCATTATTATATATATATTTTTGGAACAATTACAAAGTCTACATACATTCAATAATCGTTTTCTATTGCCTTAAAAGGGAATTCCACTTTTTCAAAAGTTTTGCATAATTACATGGTTAAGATGTAAACAAAGTCCTTTGTTGTGAAATGATCCTTTCTAGAGAAACTTATTGGGTCAGAATTATTCACAGTGGTGGTGACAAGAATCAGACAACTGAAATATTTACTTCCTCTAAAAGTTAACCCATGGAAAATGACTACACAAAATAGTAACATGTACACTGCTAGATGTCTGAGACATTGCTTTATGATAGTTTTAAGATGAGATTTTGGCCTAAAACATACTTTTAAAATCCATTCACAGCAGTGAAGTGCATGTAGAACTTTGTAAAGCAAAGAAAAACATTTTAAGAAGGATTTACTACTATTTTAGTATTATCAACATTGCATATAAAACTCACTGGTCATTATGGATTGTAAATAAAAAAAAAAACTTTTGCATTATAGACTCATAGGTTTCCTTCACCATTGCTGTAAAGAAAGTCCCATTTCACATCCAATATCCAATCCATACTTTGTTGATAATTTTGCAGAAATGTTCAAAAATTCCTTCTAGGTTGCCCACTTTTACATTGCATCACTGCTACTATGTTCATCATTCTGAATACATCTAAAATACAGTTTTTACACCTTCTTATAAATTATTTAAAAGCTATGAAGTTGTGCAGTACTAGTATCGTATTAGAACCTATTTATACAAGTATCTGCAACAAAACTGGTTTGGGATTTTATATTATTTTAATGGTAATTAAAAATATAAATAAATCATGTGCTAGTGTGTATGCATGTGAATGAGCAGCCACACCAAAACAGTCAAACACTGTTAACCAAATAGGCAGTGTGATTTGAGATCTGATAAAGACACACACAAAACGTGTGCACCTTTCTTTGCAAGTTTCTTCTGGCGCTTATACTGCAGGTATTACAGTGTGCTGGACTTTTGTCTTCTTGCTAGTCTGCACTTTTAGCAGTCCTACAAACTTTTATGGAAGAATCTGAAGGTACATTGAGCTCTGTTTTGGTTATCATCATTATTAACATTTACTTGATCTCACACACAAACATGAAAGGATGTTTGCATGACAGCAGTACAAATATTTTCACATAAAAAAAAATTCCAGTGTAAGTATATATGCATGTGAACATGTAGTCTTTACCTCTTTGTCCTCTTGTTGCTCTCGTTCAGAATCTGGACACTCGTAGAAATCTAAAGTCTCCTCCCACCACTCCGAGTCGATGCGTCGTCGCCGTGATGACGTAAGCCAGGTGGGGTCATACCTAGTGCTCAGGTCTTTTAGGTAGCCCTCACTGTCCACTCCCACGACGTATGTAATGGGCTGAGTGGCCTGCTTGGTGCAGAGCTGCGGTTTGCCCACTCCTTGATTAACATCAACACACACCCACCTCTTCGCCCCCTCAAGGTACACCTCTATCCACTCGTCATCTCCTTTTCCCTGCCTGCGCCTCCCTCGACGCTTTGTTTCCTCATGTTCTTCTTCTTCGAAGTCATCATCCTCCTCCTCTTCTTTCTTTGCACCCTTTTTGACCCCGCTTGACCGTCGCCGCGCCTTGCCTTTGTCCTTTCCTTTAGTCTTTGAACTCCTTTTTGACCTCTTACCTCCATCTTCTGAGTCATCACTCTCTTCCTCACTGGTCAGCTGAAACTCCTCTCCACCACTAGCTTCCTCCTCCTCACTGCTCTCTTCTTTGTATGACACTTTCGATGCAACACTCCTCCTTTTGGTGTTTTTTGGCCGTTGTCCCCCAGCTGCTTCTTTTTCTTTGTCTTCTTCTTCACTCTCATTCTTTTTCTGTCTCTTTCCTCCCTTCTGCCTCTTAGTCCCAGTGTTGGCACCGAATGATCGTTTGGACCCAGGAGACACTTTGGGTTTTTCTGGCTTTTCATCAGGTTCATCAGAACTGTCTTTAGCAGCAGGACTGGTGGAGCTTTGAGTTTTATTCTAAAACAGAAACACACGTTCAAGTAGATCATATATATTAATAAAAAGATAGAAGTTTCACCCGATTCTCATTAAGTACCAAACAGGCAGTGTCATTAGAGATCTGACATAGACAACACAGATAAAAACTGTAGTTAAAATAGAAAAAAAAAACTATAGTTACTATAGTCTGCTTGACGTTTTGTCTTTTTGATAGTCTGCACAATCAGCAGTCCTAAAAACCTTTTTTGGGCAATTTGTTGGTGCCTTGAGTCTCATTTTGGTTTTTATCATCATTATTAATACTTACTTGATCTCACACAGAAACATCAAAGGGTGTTTGTGGAACAGCACAAACATCCTGAACCTCAAATCTTATTTTTTTTAATGTTCTAGAATTTTAGCACTGATGCTTCATATGGTTATCAGCTGCCTCCATACAGCACTGTGCAAAAGACCACTTTCATTTATTTAATTTCCAGTCAAAATGGAACATTATTAATTTTTCAGGAGATATTTCTTATGAGATAACCAGTCACCATCAGATTAACACTGCTTAAAGCTTTCATTTTTGACAGATGTGAGAAAATCAAGCTCCACTCAAATCTGAAAAAAATTAACAGGTGTTTCTGCCCATCCTTCTACTGTGAGAAGACACCTCAACACTATGGCTCTGAAAGGATGTGTAGCTGTCAAGAAGCCATTACTGAAATAGTAAAAAAACAGAAGAAAATTTGCAAATCAAACAAAGCAGCAGCTGCCGTTCTCAGAACAATAAACTGGCGAGTCCTGAACTTTGGAGGTGTGGAAACATAAATAAAGTCTGCAGTGTTTCGGCCCCTGAGGAATGGAGCCTGACACATATGCTGCAGATCATCAACAAATCATCAGGATTGGCCTGGCTTAAATGTGTTGTGAAAATACACATCTGTTGTGGAGATACCAGACTAAAACCAGACTATTACTTTTTGTAAGTGAGAACTTAAGAAATCACAAAAATTACAAACCCACACAGATGTACCTTTTTAGTTGGTTGTTTGAATGGTACAGGCTGTAATGAGAGCACCAATCGACAGAATAGTTGCAGCGACCGTAGCATCAGCAGGAACAGCTACAGAGAAAAATGACATCATATGCATCACTTCATGCATCCATGTGAACATCATAACTGATGATATACATAACAACTGATGATATATTCAGAAAAGCATACTGTAATGCAATTTACCAAAAACATGACATCTCATCACATTGCCCACTTGTAATCCAGAGCAAGACTGCAGTTATTACACTTTTATAAACATGTCGCAGGCCAAAAAAGTTAAAATTTCACTCACATAGGTCATCTCTTCATGATCACGTGCTGACAGACTCCCCAAACGTCTCTCCAGCACCCCCCGCAGTTCCACACCCTTTTCTTCAGGAAGCTCAGGGTTTAGCGTAAACGTTGCTCTAAACCTGGGAACAGCCAGCCCAATTACACGCACACAGAGATCAAAGATATGTCAGACAAGATTAAAACATATGCAGAGCCATTAGACAAGATTAAATGCACAGCCACGCAATAAATGAACACAATTAAAGTGATTGATTATTCTCACCACTTCAAAAGGCCCTCAAGGAAACCTGTGTTGATACGTTCTGTAACAACACTGGTGAAGTGAGCGGGCAGTAAGGACAGTGCAATGGCCAACAGGTCAGGCTCACAGCAGAGGTGGTTCCGGAACAGCCCACCGGCCAATAAACACAGCAGGTGAACCTGAATGACAGGGAAATGACAGCAATATGATGAAATGCCAAGTCAAACCTGTTTTGATGACTTTGGCCAAAATGCCAGCTAATAATGCCAAACCATAAAGTCACATGCAGCAAAAATGCCAGTCAAACATTCCAGGAGTAGGTTATAGAGGACAGCGAGTACAAGAGTCAGAGCACAACTGTACATATAAAAAACGCCTGCATTCAGACACACAAACATACACACCCACCTTGTGTGTATCTTCCAGCAGCTCCTTGTTAAAGCGCTTCATCATTCGGCGCAGGTAAGTCTCAAATTCAGCTTTCCGCTTCTCCCTGGCAACAGTTACCATGGTGTCATGCTTTCCAGCTGTCATTCACTGATCCCTACTGATTCTATTGGCTGACAGTATGACAGGCAATGGCATCTGTCCAAGATATGTCACTTGGCATTTGAGTACGTTCAACTTTCAGTTATATTGTAACTTCAGGAAAAGTTTAGAAAGTTACATAATATATCAGAGCCAGATTCATAAAAACAGCAAAGCAATCACATTAATCTGAATAAGAGAGACGAGTCATTTATCAAGCCCCATCACATTCTATTAGTTTCACCCACACACACTCACTTCCTCTGTCTCTTGTGCATGGCCTCAGCTGTCTCGATCTCAATCTCTACTGGCTGAGATGGGACTGCAGGCTCTAGCTCAGTATCCACAGGTCCCAAGGGGCCGGCCAGTTCTGAGAAAATATGCAAAAAAAAATTCTTTTAAATCGTTTTTAGGCTTGTAACTCACAAGAATACTAAACATTTGTTCTCAAAAACTCTTTTTATGCATGTAACCTTAGGAATGTGTGCACTAAAGTAGGTAATATGGCAAAAATACAGTACTGTGCAAATGTCAGAGATTACCCATGTAATTTTCAATCAAAATGGCCATTCTGAACCATTTACTCATTTTTCAGGAGTGATTTCTAAGGAGATTAGATATAAGATAATGATCTGGCATAAGAAAGGGAAAGTCAAAAAAGAATAAATGAAAAAAAATCAAGTGTTTCCAACAAACTGTTAAAATGAATAGGGAAAAAAATGGAACTCCTAACAATCATGCAAAATCTGGTTAACCATCAAAATGGTCACCAAATGATAAGCCGTACTTAAAGGCTGTCAGGAAGCTGTTACTGGGAAAAACAAACAGACAAAAAGAACACATGCAAATCAAACAAAGAAGCTGCTAGTTATTTTTAGAACAATGGACTGACCACCCGAGTCCAAACCTCTTCATTACTGACTGCGTTTGGGATTACTTGGATCGTGAGATGCAGAAAATGGAACCAGCTTCTAAGACTCAACTTTGGAGGTATAGAACAATATTCCTGCAGATTTCTTTGAAAAATTGAAAGCAAATCTCCTGAAAAGAACAGACACACTTAATACTGAAAATGTAAAAATGTATTATCATATCTAGCTGCTGAGGTTTGTTGTGCTGTGTAATTTTCAGTTTTTTCTGCTTTTATCATGCTGAAAATGAACAATTTGTGCTTAATGGTCATTGAAATTAAATAAATGACTGTGGTCTCTAACTTTTGCACAGTACTATATACTATAAAGATATATACATTATCACAGTATACCATGTGCATCACAACATTTACTTTTTCAGAGGTTCGGAACAGAAAATAAGCCCTAGTAGTGCCGTATTTAATAAATAATGTGAAAAAGCCATGGGTACAGATTTTTTTTTATGTAATGTCTCACATACATTATGCACTGCATTAAATCCAATTAAACAAGACTAATTATGCTCACTTTGTATTGAAGCAGTTGCTCAGTGTTCTTTCTGTGGTGACGATATCCCAGATGTGCTCAGAAAAGCATAATGTGATGTAATTTATGAAAATAATGATAAAGTACCATCACAGTGCCCACCTCTAGTGTGTGCCGCACTCACACACACCCTCACCTTCCACTTCCTCCCACTCATCTTCATCACTCTCCTCACTCTCGCCATCCTCTTCTCCTTTCTCCACTTCTTTCTCTTCTTTCATCTTGTCGTTTGGTGTGGTGCACTCTGGAAATGTCACACCCACGTCCTCACGGGGATCACTCATGTCCTCAGGCTCTTCCTTCACTGGCTCTGTGACCTGGAAGTATTTACTCGTCAGCCCGTCCGAGGGCTCGTCTGCCTTTTTTAGGGATGCACGATCATATCGGAATCATATCGGTATTGACTGATAATTGCTTAAAAATAATTAGCGGCATCGGACAGATAAAGATTAAGCTGATTTAGATTAAGCTGATATTTCAAACTGGTATTTGATGACCTACTTATTGTACCCTGGAAGAGGTACATGTTTAGGTGAAGCTGGTCTATTGTGCTAAAATATCTACACTTTATTCATTTTACTGCATTTGAAACTTATTATTAGAAATAAATGTTACACTTCTCCACACTGCTAATCCAGCTAGATGTAGTCCCATTTTCAAATTTTTATAATGGTTTATGTATCGCCATCAGCAGATTCAGTTGTATGCAAAAGTTTGGGGGTCAAATTACATTGTTTTTTAAGTGAAAATAAGTGAACACATCCTCTACAAAGAAAATGCTTTTGCACATGTAAATGCACATCATATTGGGGAAAAACATAAAATGTGGCATGTGCAAAAGTTATGGCACATTTTATATTTTATGGTTGTTTTCAATATGTTAAACTTAGCAAATAAATAAAAACTGCACAAAAAATAGCAGAAAAATGCCATATATTAGTTTGTACCCTGTAGAGGATGTGTTGACTTCTTTTCACTTAGAAAATCAAGAAAACATGTAACTTGACCAATGCTCTAACTTTTGCATTTACCTGTATGTACACATAAAATATCAGATATTGACATCAGCCAACATTTACTATATCGGTGGACCCCTACCTTTTTTGATGCTCGGCCTCTGGGCTTTGAGCTCTTGGTGACATTTTTGGCTCCAGTGCTGTTTCCTGATGAAAAAACAATGAATATCAGAAATAAAAATGTAAAAATAAATTTGCCATTTATGCCAGGCTGCTGAACCCAACACACAAACATATACAAACACACTTTTTCCCCAGCTTCAGCATGACAGCCAGTAGAATGCACTGTCTGTATACGTCAATATACTGCCATATCACTGTTACATCCTATACCTTAAAAAAGAAATAGATGCTCGTAGACAAACACTATGGCACAATTTTAAGATTAATGGGATTAATGAAGCCATCAATCAATCCCAATCCATGGCATGTCAAGAAATAACATATTCCTATGGACAAAACTGACCACAAAAAGTACCAGACTGAGTTACAACTCCATTGGAAATGCACAGGGATTATTGTGACCCCTTTATGAAGATTTTGGGTAGTGATGCAATAATGTTATTTTTTCAGGACCTATGATCAAGAAATATGGAAATGATATTTATGAGGGTCACTAACAAGACTTTTGAGCAATACGTGGAATATGCAGTAGTTTTTTTTTTTCTCTCTCTCAAAAATCCCACTCTATTTGGTCAATTAGGACCCCCTCCTACCTCTGCTACTGAGTTGTGTTGGCAGGAGGTGCACCAGTTATTGACAAAACAAATGCACAAGAGCAGCCATGCAAAGTTCCCCAGCTGCAACCTGCAACTGCAACTGCACTGCACCCTCCTCCTCCACTCACACAACACCATAAAACATTATCTAACTACAGGCCATTCACATTCACTACCACACGACCAATCCCAATATATTTATATGACTTTATATGACTAGCATATAGCAAGTTCTAGTCATAATGCACTTATTATCAGCGCCATACTAGCAGAATCTCAGCTAATAGTCAACACAGTAAACACTGCAGTGAAAGTGAGGCATATAAGCTAAGTTAGCTAACTACAGTTTGCTACAGCTAGTATATTATAAACACACTCGTGTTTGGTGTTGAAGTTCTGGAGTAGCAGCTACTGTCTACCTTTGGTCTTCGGCGTTTTGGGAGCTTTGGGAGCTTTTGGAGCTTTGCTCTTCTTCGCAACCTGCTTCAGTTTCTTTGTTGTGTCCTTTTCAGTGGCAACACCTGCTATCTTTTTATGTTTAGCCATAATGCCGACGCGCAGTCCGTTTCAGTTTCGCACTGTACAGAGTTCAGCAGTCCGGTGTATTTGGAGAGAAGGCCTTAGGGACACTACACGTGGAGCTACTTATGTAAACCCATTCACACATCGCAGTTACTCAACACGGCACCCTCCATCCTTTCATAACACAGAAAAAGCGCCGCAGCTCTGGAGCTGAGGTCTCTGCAGACGTCACATCCACTTCCTACCAACAAATGCTACTAGCAGACTGGAAGCTGCTCCGCCCGCTAGAGGGCAGTGTTGCGCCAAGTTAATACAAAAATGTCTGGGAACCCAGAGATCCGCACAGTTTCAGGTGTTTTCTGTCCTCAGTGCACCTCATCCCGCTCATGAGGAGTTTGATAAATACTTGATAGATTAGGAGTGTCGAGTCAGAGAATCATGGGTCTCAGGACTGGAGGTGAAAACCACAGGATCTACTTCAGTGACCTGCCCTGCACATTTTAGTGTTTTTCCAGTTCTAACACACCCATTTCAACACAAGGATGGTTTTCAAATGAGCCCCTCCAACGAAAAAACACGTTAACCATTTCCAGCTATTTTGTTTTCTATTTTATTTTGTACACATGCTTTATTAAATTTTAATGACTTCTTTTGCATTTCAGTTTATTTTAAATACAGGACATTAAACAATGCCAAATCATGCTTATATGTTTTTTTACTAAAAATGTCATGTACTATTTTTGTTGCAAGGGCTCAATCAATATGTGCAGACCTGTGGTGCTCTAAGACAAGGGTTGTGATCCACTGGCCAATAACACAGATTCCTAACCCTGGTCTTGGGCCGCATCTGAACAGTTGAATGAAGCTTCTCTTACTGTCTGCTTTCTTTGATTTTGACTGATCTGTATCTGGCACTGATCTGGCAGAGCTGACTAACACAAAGATCCGCTTGGGATATCAGGCAAAATCAAGGAAAGCAGGTGTAGACTGCCCTTTACTCTGCACTTTCTCTTTCTTGCACTTTCCCCATTCCCAATACACAAATCAGCTAATTTATTATTTATTATTATTATTATTTATTTATCACTGATTTAGCACATTAAAGTCAGTCTTTTGGTCACATTGGACTGTTAATTTTTAACCAAACAATTTAATCCCCAAGTCAAGTATTCCAATAACATGTAATCGAATACTGTAGACTATTAGATGTTCATCCAATGTATAACTACACAAAATGTCATCACTTTAGACCCACTTTTCCAACCCTGATCCTGGAGGATCCACCTGCCCGCCATTCATGCTTTTGTGATTTCCTGCTGTAACACACCCACTTCAACTCAGGAAGGGCTTATAAATTAGCTAATATGTTCAATTAGGTGTGTTGGAAACAGGCAAAACACTAAAACACAAGCAGTAATCCAGGACTTGAGTTGGGAACCACTGCTTTAGACCAACCAGAACAAAAACTTTTTTTCTATTGTGCTAAATGTAGTTGTTGGCCATGAATGAGTTAATCTGAATAAAAGATACCAGAATTGAAGCTCTATTTGCACTGCAGTCAGTTTATTAAGGTCCTGATCTTTAGCTGATGAATGCAGGTAAACTACAGGACTTTAAAGTGTGATATGACTAGGGCTGTTAGGTATTCCAGCATGAGTTTTGGGGAGCTTTGGGGAGAGTAGCACATTGGTATCTTTATGTCCATGAAGACATTTTAACCCTGTTTCTGTTGGTTGGATGTATGCAAAAGTTTGAACACCACAGTCAAATTACATGTTTTGTTCATTTTCATTTGTGAAAATATGTTAACACATCCTTTATAGGGAAAAAAAATAAATATGACTTTATATGACTAGCATATAGCAAGTTCTAGTCATAATGCACTTATTATCAGCGCCATACTAGCAGAAGTAGTCAACACAGTAAACACTGCAGTGAAAGTGAGGCATATAAGCTAAGTTAGCTAACTACAGTTTGCTACAGCTAGTATATTATAAACACACTCGTGTTTGGTGTTGAAGTTATGGCATTTTTCCTGCAAATATTAAGCACAATTTCTATTTCTTTGCTGATATTTGGGGAAAAAACATACTAGTATACTGCCATCATTTTGTACAGGCCACATTTTATGTTTTATGTATTTTGTCAATATGATAAAAACAGCAAATAAACAGTGATTATGCAGTAAAATATGTAGAAGTGCGCTCTCTGTAGAGGATGTGTTCTTATTTTGCATTAGAAAATCAACAAAACATGTAATTTGACCAGGGGTGTCTTTTGCATATGACTGTATTTAGGTAGGTCTCAGGTATTTAGGTAGATGCCAGTAGTTTGAACAATGTTGAAGAATCTGAAAAGTACTGATTTTTCATGTTGATTAATAGTCTTTTTTTTAATACATCATGTCCACCTCAACTACTTGAGGTCTTTTTGAACCAAAATGCAGCTGCTTAAGACAGCATTTTTTTAAATAAACAGTTGCTACCACAGCATAACCATGAATGCATTTTCTAAATGATGAACATCATGATGACTCAGGAAGAGCTTATCCAGCTTCTTGAAATGATTAAATCTATCATGGCACTGATTTATAGCCCTGTAGTGCAGCTGACAGAGTGAAATTCAAAGTGTAGTTTATTTTCTGACATATTGGTAGATGTGTGTGGTGTGTGTGCCTTGAAAAGTCAAGTGTTAAACACTGAATATACTGTTGAAAAGAATGAGAGAGAGAGAGAGAGAGAGAGAGAGAGAGAGAGAGAGAGAGAGGGAGAGGGAGAAAGAGAGAGGGAAGGACAGTGAGACAGAGAGGGATAATCACATCAGAGAGCATCCACATAACTTCATTTATTTAAAGTTTCAGGCATTGATTATTACTTTCATGACTTAATTAATATGTAAATGCAAGTTTTAACACCTTACATACACCTGTTCTTGGCTCAGGTCATCAAACCGAATTATAGTTGATCAAGCACTGCAATGGCTTCACATGAAATGGGTATAAGGCCTACATGTTACTAAATTTACTACAAAGGACTGGAAGACTGAACAGACCTGTTTGTGTTCTTTTAGATTACTTAGATGTTTTTTAAATATGAATATTTGTGTTGTTCCAGATTTGAGTAGCATTTTACTGCAAATGCATTTAGCTGAACAGTGTCCATTTGAATGCACAGGTTGTGTGACTGTAATATGAATATTTGTCACTGCATGGTAAATGGAGAGAACACTAAGTTCCAATATACCACCAGTATGAAAAACATAATCCCTTTTTGCAGCTGTGAAGGCATGCAACAGATCAGAGCTATGTAGAATAGGCAGATGTTAATACGTAGAATAAAAAGCAGAATAAGTAGGTTCTGTCCTGCTGACATGCACATTCATAATGATAATTCTGTATTCAAATCTCCATTATTTTGATACTAAGCTTACACGGAAATCACAAAATCAGGCCAAGTGATGGTAAAATCATCAGGCCTTTGCTGTGGCATGTATAATATACTGAATATGAATGATATGAAAGAATTGATAGACCAGTGTAATTTGTTTTCATGGCATTCAGCACCGTCTGCTTTTAGGCCTGAAGGAAGGTTTGGCCAGGAATCCACCCAGAGTTTCTCCATCTCCATCCTTATAAACCTTGCAATTTCACCATCCTTTGTCAAATGTATTTTGTACCAGGTGTGGTATATACTTGGGACCTGTTTGATAATGTTGATCAAACTATATAGCTTGAAGGGGAGACGCAACAGGTTTTATCTGCTTCCAAGAGGTGTGTCTGTCCCAGATGGGTGGTACTGGACACAGAGAATTGGTTACAAAGTCAGAAAGAAAAGCATTAAAAATCAGTAAAAGTAGCATTTATTTTTCAATCTACTAAATAAATACCATACATATAAGCCACACTCAAGTGTATCAGAACAACACATTGATAGCCCCTGGTGCTGAAATAGAACATGTAAAGCACCACAGGAATGCTTGGGTGACTTGTCCCTGTTCAGTAGCATAAAGAACAACATAAAAGCCTCTGTGTGTTATCAAATGACAGTTTATTATTTATTAATTTCATGCAGTCAAAAAGTCCATGGCGTATAGTAGTTGCTCTGAAATAGCTCATCTAAAGATGCCAGTGGGTGAATGAATATCATAAGCTATGTGCAAATAAAAACGCCTTTAGAAATGCATGATTGTGGCTTTAAAGCTCAGAGTGATGGCTCTCTGCCGGTGTTAAACTGGCTCTCACAGACATGAATCAGCTCACTGCAGGCCCGCTTTAATGAGCACAAGGCTGCACCTTTACTCATTAAAGTTCAGCAACTGAGGTCTATTAGAGTTATGTGTGTACGTGTGTGTGTCTGTGTGTGTGTGTGTGTGTGTGTGTGTGTGTGTGTGTGTGTGTGTACCTGGTGCCGTCGATGCAAATGAACAGCTGTCTTTGCGCCGCTCCGCAGCAGATGTCCAGCTCGGAAGAGAGAGAGTGCGCGTGCGCATATGTGTGTGTGTGTTCATATTACTTCAGAGAGCTGTCTGTAAACTCGATTGGCAGCACAGTTTCAAACAGTCTCCCTGCAGCAAGTAGGGCTCGCTGGGCATCTGTGCCCGGATCCGTGCCAGCACAAGTATGCGTGTGCCAGCACAAAGATGTGTGTTTTTGTGTGTGTGCCTTATAGTTGACAGGTGAGGACAGTTGTTTGGCACCCCTTTCGCCACTGCCCTCCACTATGACGGTCCCCATGACGACGCAGGCCCCCAGCCCTGCATGGCTTCCATCCCTATATGAAACTCACAACAGTCAGATAGGAATAAAAAGCCATACAGGACAGCAGGCAGAGCAGGCAGGACAAAAGAGAGCAGCTGCACATGAAGTTTAGGCCACTCTAGTATGTCTTCATAAACCTGGCTAAGTGGTTAGTTCAGTCTAGGCTAGCTAGTTTAGACAAACCTAGCAATAAAGGTTAAGCTAGTTTGTTCTGGTCGACCTAGTCTTGATACACCAAGCAAAGAGGTCAGGCTGGTTTGGTCTGGTATTGCTCATCTTGGTAAGCCTGGTTAAGAGGTTTGACTAGTTTATTCCAGTCTAGCTTGTCTTGGAAAACCTGATTAAGAGGATAATTTATTCTAATTCAGCTTACCTTAACAGACTCGGCTAAAAGGTTAGGACAATTTATTCTAGTCCAGCTAGTCTTGATGATCTCAGCTAAAAGGTTAGGCTAATTTATTCTAGTCCAACTAGCCTTGCTG